CAAAATTGCTGCCTTGCCACGGTTAATTTTGATCTCATCTAATCTTTGTCTGGTATTTTCGTACTCTTTGACCAGTTCCTCTGTCGGCGAACTGGCGAGCTTTGACTCGCATTTACTTAATGCGTCATATAAAAGATTTTCTGTGCGACGTAGCTCGTACGCAATTTTCTTACTTCTTTTTATCGCAAGCACTCTTATGTTGCTTAATAGCATATCGATTATCACTCCTTTCTGAATGTTTTGATGATAAGGTTCAGTTTTTATCAAGGCTTTATTTATTTCAGACTTAGCTGCGTTAATGAATTCATCATCTAAAAGAAGGGAATTATTGAAGCGCCACAGACCGGGCCCTCGGGGTTCATCCGAAAAACAAAATGTTAACGTAATAAAGCTGTGGTCACTCAGGATGCCGGTATCGATATGGGCTTTTACTACATTGTTGTTGATTATCCAGCTGCTTACAAAAATCATATCAATTCGAGACTGCTGCAGAGGGTTTATTCTCCTCCAAGTAAATTTTTTCTCCGTTGGGTGCAGTGTTCTCCAAGCATCTTCCAGAGAAAATTCTCCTATCAACTCTCCTAGTTTTTTACTAGCTCTGCTTTCCCGGAAGGAATGACTGTCAGTGTCGAGTGAACTTAATCTAATATTAAAGTCTCCCGCCATAACTATTTTAGCACAACTGAAATCAGTCAAGACTTGTCTCAGTTCATTTAAGAAATCGCATTTTACGTTTTGATCGTCAACGGCAGGTGCATATACCCCTAACAACACTACTTTATTCGGTATAGATCCAATTTCCACACAGACTAATCTTCCTTCATGATCAGCAAGTAATTCATTGACGCTATACTCAAATCCACCCGGAACCAACACAGCAACACCTGCTTGTCCTGACTCTGAACCATGTGAGAAGAAAATTTGTCCCTTCCATTCATTCTTCCATGTGTTTTCCATCGACGGTCTAGAGTGTGTCTCTTGAAGAACAACGATACATTTTTTGTACTTTATTCGAAGATGACGAAAAATGGATCGTCTTTTGGTGCGATTGCGTAAGCCTCTCGTATTAAAGGAAACCACCGAAACTTCCTTCATGAACCAGCCGGTAGATTTACAGCAAGGCTATATGTTTTAAGAGGTCTTGGTTGTACCGGCACCACCGCGCGGCACAGACAAATATGGCAGTATATGCACGCCAAAGGAAACCTAACACGTATATCACCAGTAAAACCATCATTTACAATGAAAAAAGAACTCAATACCTCTAGACCCCACACTTCCCATTCCCCTAACATTACGGCCGTCCGCAGGCTAGTCATATGGACCTCCTACAGACACAGCAGTGCACGAGCGTGCCGCTCCGGGCAGCAATTATCGACGCATAATGGCAGATAACTTCTCACAACAGGTTAAATGCGTCTAGTCAAAAGTCTGATACGTCTAAGCTATCTGTTACAGATCAGAAAACTTTTCCAAACGAGAATATACGTAGAAAATTGAGATGACACGTAAACAACTAAATACATAAATAAATGAATAATAAAAATGAATATCTTATGAAAAAAGCATTTCTATATTATCTTGCAGGGTTCACTAATACAAGACACAAGAAATTCGTCTAATACAGGCGTCATTGGTTAGCTGTACGTTAATGCTAGAAGACAAACATCTACCAAGAATCATCAAGGCGCTATTTAGGAGCACTTACTTCAACGACCAGTAAACGGACCGAACCCGGTGACGAAGACCTGCACCGGAAACGGTTTCCGGTGACCGCGCACCGGTCTCACCGGGCTCAGACGACTGACGTCACCGGGTCTCCAGAAGCGGCGACCGCCGGACTGTTCGGCACCTCACCGCGCGACTCCGTCGACGGCCTCGCGGCCGACACCGGCTCGGAGTCTGACGCGGCACAGGATTGCGCTGCAGTAGAACCCGGCTGTGGGACACCGGATGAAGACGAAGGCGTTGATGTTCCCTTACCGGGCCCGGCCGAACGTACATACGGCGATGACGCCGCTTTTCCGCCGGAGGCACCCACCGCAGGGAGGACGCCCGAGTGAACAGAGGGCGGCGGCGGACGGCCACGGTGCCGAGTCGGGAAACGGGAGCCGTCCAAGACTCGCCGGAGGGCGGCTTGATCAGCAACCATGATATTGTCGCCACGTTTCACACGCCGACAGAACACAACGCCACGTCGAGTGAACACCGACGCGATTTTCGCACCGTTACAGGGCTTACGAGCCTCGAGGAGTTCATTATAAATTGCTCTGTTGCTCGGGGTCAGGCTCTCATTTACATAAAGAGGTGACAGCCTTTCCTTGCGCGCTGAGTGAGCACTGCCGGAGTTCATGGAGAAGCGGCGTTCATAAATAGAGTCACGTACCCGCTGTTTCGCGAACTTCACGATCACTTTGTCGTCGCCCTGAAGGCGATGTGCGGTCTGTAAGTCCGCAGCGGTCAAGCGGATGTCCGGGTCGCGTTTGTTGATAACATCAACGACTTGTTGTTCGATCTCTTCATTTGGCCGACGCTTCCCGAAGTCCGAGCAGGTGAAAATCAGCGAAGTCATCCGCCCGTTCATGTCCATGGATTCTACCTGCTTCTGCAGCTCAATATTGACGTGAACTTGCATCTCTAATTGTTCAGATAATCTTCTGATTTCTATGTCGCGATTCATTTCTTCACCCTCAAGAATGGAGATCCTCTTTTCAAGCCGATCAAATTTGGCCTCAAACGCAGAAATAACCTTTTGTATGCCGTCGCCGATCATTTGCTGTATGGCGCTCAGCGTCTCGGTGTTCAGCCCCACCCCGGCCGGACCGGACGCCGGGGCGGCCAGCCCTGTAGCCCGGGGCAACGACCGGCCGTCCAGCGCCGCCGGGACGGGAGGGCTGCTGCCCCGGGCCGCACGTTTTGCGTTACGTTCTTCGACGCGTCTCACCATGTCAGAAACGGAAGATCGACGCTTGCGACGACCACTTTCTGTGCCGGAAGTAGCACAGTCGGTGGAAAAGGCTCCCTCACTGTCCGAATCTGAAGCCATGGTGTTTGAAGACGACTGGATCCGGTGAACAGCGCAATAGATATTTCCTCACCTCTTATGTACGAGCACACAGCACTCGGTAGCAATTCACAAAAAGTCGCTCTGCCGCCAACCTCACTTAACACTGGCCGCTGCCCGGGCGTGCACTGAGCAGCGCTCACGCCACTGCCATGACTGGAGCCGCGGACGGGCGACCCGACCTCGGCCACGGTCAGCCGCCGACTTTTTCATGGTTGTCTTCATTGTCTCCAAATATACCACAGTTACATGCAGTTTGATACCTACTTGCACTCCATACTTAACCATGACAGCGGAACATCGGGTACTAATTTCTTATTTCACTGAAATATTTTAACGACGTATAATTATTTTGTAATTATGCACCACGTTTAGTTGTAAGAGTGTATCGTACTACGCAAACGTACTACGCATCGTACTACGATTTTGAGATTGAAAATAAATCAGGAAGAAGCGAAGAATCGTCTCCAGATACTGTAGATGGCATAGCCAGCTACTGTACGAACGCGGTTCCTTGTTTCTCTCCTAGGTTTCCTTTACGTTTATTTGTACGATATGCATTGATGCCAACTGACTGCAATATTCTTTTTCACGGCAGACGACGAGCTGCTAGCTCTACTTGCCTATGGCTGTGGAACAGCCATTGGCACCTTGGCGGATCCGAGAAACGGGGTTCGTCAGGCAGGTGAGGAACTATCGGTGGACGGTGTGGTGGTCTGCCAACTGCCGGCCACCAGGTTGGAGACCGTGGCCCTAATGACGGCCGCCCACGCTGTCTTCTACACAAAGTTCACGGGGCCCTGCAGGGCCCTGTTCGAGATTCTTTACCGGAGTGTGGGATTCGATGTAAACCTATCTGGCTTATCACAGAAGGTGTGGGAGGTTACCCAGGTAGTGTAGAACCAGCATCGGAGATGCCCACTTCGAATGACTGGCGACCTGTAGCTCACCTGTGGTTCAAGTGACTCGTGACTTGTGGCTCACCTGTGGCTCAAGTGACTCGCAACGTGTGGCTCACACTGCTGGAGCCTCTGTATTATGACTAATTCAGCTGCAGCGGTCTCAGTACGCCAATGAGTCTCAGTACGTCTTTCATAGCCCAGATCACGCTCGTTTTATATGCCATCCGTGGCGGTGGTTCTGTGCGCAGATGTTATTCGTTAGCCTCAGTGTTAACCATACACGCTCGTTTTATCTGCCATCCGTGGCGGTGGTTCTGTGCGAAGATGTTATTCGTTAGCCTCAGTGTTAACCATAACGCCCTTGTGAGTTGTGACCTTGAACGTCCTTCCAGTGATTTCGCATTGCGGCCGGCACAGAGGAAGTTTTGCCTCCCAGTTGAGACGCCGCTTCTCAACTAGGAAGCAAAATTACGTCCCTGTCAGCCGCAATGCGCCATCACTGGAAGTGCGTCCAAATTAAGATGTACCTGCTGATGCTCAGGTACCATTCGTTAATCAATTGTTGGTGTTTCAATACATTGTTTAAATGCATTCCTTATTTTACACTTGGTCATAATATTATCACATCACCCCGCATTATCAGGGGTGGTACTTTTACACCGGGGCTTGATTTTACCGGGGAGTTACTCCGGGGTAAAATTATCGAAAAAAGGAGTGCTTTTTGGCATGGCAATATTATTCCCCGAATGGGAGTAATTTAAGTATTAAGTTAATAAAATTATCATCTGGTGTAATTTTATCCAAAGATAGCATACTTTTATCCTCCGTCATAAAATTACTCCCTAGCGCGAATAATATAAGCGTTCGGATACTAAATATATTCTATATGCTAGTTTTATTCCCCAAAACTCCCCATTTTAGGCGCTTATGCCAGGTCATAAAATTATTCGATTGCAGGAGTGCTTTTTGGCATTCTAAAATTAGAAAATGGGGAGTAAGTTTTTTTCAGTGCGGGCCACGTGTTCCATCTCTCCGTTGGCAGACATGTCCTCTCCGTTGTACCAGTTCTGACGTGCTCGATGGACCCATTTTCAGCGTGCCGTGGACGCGGCGCCTAGCAGCGCACCCAGTGGTACTTCCACCTGCCGCGGTGGCGCCGCCGGCAGCAGCGCGCGTTCGAGTAGCGCGAGTGGCAGTAGCGCCAGCCGCGCGGACACCGCTGGCGGCACGGCCTGTGGTGGTGACCCGGGTCGGCGCCGCCTGCAGGGCCGGGCAGCGGTCAGCCAGCTGGCAGCGATGGAACCACTAACCTATCGCGCTACGACAGCCGCCCATGTATGATTGTGGAGGATACTGTTATCTGAAATCGCACGCTACTATGAGCGCGTGTTCCAAACCCGGTGACATTTATTTTTGTGTAAGAATATATCAGTTTCGATCGGCTCGATTCCAATGTTAACAGATTGTGAGCACATTTGCATTTTATCCCATGAAAAAAATATATATATATAAAGTATGCTGCAATGGTAGACGGTTACCTATTGGTGACAACAAATTATGCAATTAAAATGGGCAATTAGAAGGAGACATTTTGTTTTTCTCACAGACAATGGCAATACAAAAACAATATAATAAGACCAGATGTTTCGACAACAAAGTGCCTTCGTCAGTGGAAAGCAAGATATAGGCTTTACATATTTTTATCGATGTATGCCTATATCTTGTTTTCCACTGACGAAGGCACTTTGTTGTCGAAACGTCTGGTCTTATTATATTTTTTTTGCATTGCCATTGTCTGTGAGAAAAACAAAATGGGCAATGTTTCAGACTTCCGACAGTGGGCATGATGGACCGATGCTGCACCGATTCGGCACTCACCCAATGACAGCGTTCCTAACAGAACGATCACCACCAGGAGCCAATGGAGAAGCTTCATGCTGCTGTAGCGTGCCTCACGGCGACCCTTTGACAATTGGCCCTGACAGTCCACCTCCCATTATATGGGTGGGCTGGAATGGCGCACTGTCATATGACAGTGAAATGGTGACTAATTTGGCGACCTTTTACTTATGTAACCTAACATTTGTGCGGTTTGTTTGACATGATTATTGAAGGGGAAGATTTGCCTGAAAACCCGCGTCGTAGCGGGTTATGCATTCATTTGTCCATCTTTTCTTCAATTTTCGCTGGTATTCAAAATACCTACAACCTACCTACATGCTACAGTAAACTTTTTAATGCAATCCATGATCTTGACCTGAAGACAAATTTCCAGACTGACCTTTAAATGGACCTCCCTTCAAAAAGTTAATGAATTGGCATGAAAGTGATGTCGCTCCGTTCAGAAAAAGCGAAAAGGAATATCTACCAAATTTCACCGAAAAAATTTTTCACCGGTTTTCAAGATATCCCTCGCCAGGCGAGGGCCTTTTCCATAACACGGACGGCGAAGGGGGGTTGGTACGACCCCCCCCCCCCCTGGCGATTGGCTCTTATGGCACTTAGAAACGCCAAATTTACAGGGTAGGTGGGTACATTTAGTCAATATTTAGGGGGGTTTTGGGGGGTATGAGTGCAAAAATTTTGCTAAAACATGTCAAACGTTTTTCGCTTATAACTTTTTACCTAGTAAAGATAGAGCAAAAATAAAAGCACCAGTGAACTCAGGACGTCCGTGCGCATCGAATGATATACTTTGTCACTAATTTAAGTGAGCTCTGGAATTCAGTTGCCGCTACGCTAGTCCAATTTTCCCCTGACCTTGTACCGGTTTTTGTGACCTGGTGACCTGATCTGAAAAGACTGGGATTTCAAATTTTCAGGAAAGGTGCGAAAAGGTTGCCTCAGAAGGTATGCCAAATTTGTCGGCGCTACGCGCCGCCGTTTTTACGTTATGTGCGAAAAACATTAGGGGGGTTGCATCAACCCCCCTCGCCGGGCGAGGGATATTAGACTTTTACTTTTGTTGACTTTTTGGGATCTCCGCAGTTCCTAGCGACTTTATTTGAAAGCAATAGTTAGGCAGCTGAAAGTGCGGCACTTGTTGCGCGCAAGTCAGCATATACCACCGCGTGCTACCAAACGTTTTAGTAAAAGATTTAAAATCGTTAGATCTGCGCTGACGTCACACATTCAGAGGGGGCATTCAAATGCATTAGCCTCCCTGAATCCAAAGTGCTGCAACTTTGAAATAAGATATTTCCGATTTGAGGCATTTCTCGATGTTGTGAGTGCCAAACCGGTAGGTGCAAGCCAGGGACCCGATTTTGGCGATCTCAACTCAAAACTAATGCTAAGGTGGGATGGTCGCTTTTTAACATGAGGTTTAAAACTGTAATAGCAGTTTTGTAGCTTGAGCTGAAACTAGCACAAATCAGGAGCTTTATATGCCTCAACGCACCCTAGGCAAAGATGGGTATTCCATTTCTCGTTCCGAAAAGAGTGCCTTGTAGAGGAATGTGGTGCCTTGTAGAATGCGACAGGTGGCTGCTTTTTCGGCATTCTTCTACTAGAATGCCGAAAAAGCAGCCACCTGTCGCAAAGGTTAACCTCAGCCAATCAGCATGCAGTTGCTTTTGAATTGCTCAATAAGATTCTTTAACGCGTAATAAGCTTCCGCACTCACCGCAGCACCAATATGAATATTTAGCCTCTACAATAGATGAAATATACCTAGTTTTCCTATAGGTACCTTTGAAAATAGTAAAAAATCCCTTTTGTAAATATAGTTTATTTTCTTTTCCGAGCATTTCTTAATTTTAAGCATAAATCGTTGAACTGTAGTATACCTAAAGCTAATTTAGGGAGAGTGGTAGATTTATTTCCTTGAAGATCTATCGAGGCTGTATCGCGAATGTTTCCCGCGATGTGATGCCGTTGCTTTCTGATGCCGTTGTAATCACGAATAACGAGCCTTCAGCCGATTTGTCTAAAAATGACCAAATCAGCGAAGTTGATCTTCGATGATCCATGTCGATTGTCGCAGACTGAGACTGCGCTCTAATATGCAATTGCACACATTGTATTCCATCGAAAACGTCCATTTCCGTATTGGTGACGTGACGAGAGAATCGGCTATTAACCCTCGCATGTGTAGGGGGGTCGGATGGACCCCCCCCCCCATGGTTTTTCGCAAATAACTCGCGTAAAAAGCGGCCGATCGCGACGAAACTTTCAGTACCCTCGCATTGATCAATTTTACACCTACCCTGAAAATTTCATGACCCTGACCCAAATAACCTTTGACCTGTGACCTCTTTTCCGAGACCATGTTTGGCCGCAATCGCGATTTCGCGTATGTCGGCTCGCACTAGCCGCGTGTTTGCAAGATTTTCGTGGTTTCAAACGTTCAAACATGTGATTTGATGTTACTCCCGTGTGTGTCAAGGTCACCTGAAGGTCAGGTCAGGTCATTGACCTTTGGTGACCTCGGGTGACCTCGGGTGACTTTTTCGAGTTTTACATGTTTCTAGGCTAGTTTTTGGAGCTGAATTCGAATTTAGCAACCATTTGAACATTTACGAAGTAGTTTTGGTGACTTCGTAACATGTTACGAAGCTGTCAGAGGCGGTTGACACGTATGTACTACGAATACCCGTCACGACGCCTATTGGTTGACCTGACCTGACCTGACCCGACCTGGTCTAAATGCTTCAAGACATCATCTGTGATCAAAACTAACACGATATTCGTGATCAGCACCCCGAAAAACCCCTCAGCAGCCACACTTTACGACTTTCTAACAGGTCCCGATTTTCCCGACTTTGGGTCATTGACCTGACCTGGAAGGTCAACCAATGACCTAGGACCTTAAAATTGGGTATCATCGGCTTTCTCTCGTCACGGGCAACACGCTCGTTTTTTCCGCGAAGCTCTAGCTCGATCAGGGGCCAAACGGCAAGAGGGGGTCCAACCGACCCCTTCCCCCTACACATTAGAAGCTGGCAAACGCCGCACACATGCGAGGGTTAAATAAGCTGATAAGTACGACATCAGTGCAATTGGGCGCTTCAAAAATAACAGTGATATCCAAATCATGACTCATATGTCAAAATTTGAAAATATCTTTCGAAGACCAAAACGTGCAAAATTGCCAATAAAGTGCAAAACTTGCATCAAACCGTTCCGCTTCCTCTGGGCCGAGGTGCTCTGTCCCGTGTCCGTGCCGGCGTCGTTTCCAAATTCCATGATAACCGTGCTGACCCGTGACCGGGTCTCTATGATATAACAGCCTTTCAGCCTCTCCAGTAGCAGTTTCTCCAGCGGTAGGTCCAGCGTCCGCGGTACCTCCTCTTGCAGCAGTAGTACTTTGAGGAGCGGGAGTAGCAGTGGCGCCAGCCGCGCGGACACCGGCGGTGGCACCGCCGACGGGCCTCGGCGCCCTCTGCCGAGACAGTGGGGTAGTTGCGAGGTGAGGTTCAATTTATTCGCTGATTTCACCTCGAATGACGCATCCGAGTGGCTATGTGGGTGCAGTGGCTACTGGCTATGTAGGTAAACCTTTTCGTGCCTCGGTTCAAGTAACATGAAAAATATAACTGTTTCTTATTTTTCATCGAGTCTGTGTATTTGAGCCGTTCGGTAGACACTGACCGTATTATAGCGGTATTTTAGGTTCATATTTTATAGGCCTGCTACCATGGCGAAGGCAAGGCCGTGGTGTGAGTAGGGGAGGTGCGACGAGTTGACCCTCCGCTGGGACGGACCACGGGAATGGGATATACCTACTGCCTGGCGACGCAGGCGTAAACAGTTTGGAAAGGCACTCCGCATTCCCTTGCAGAAAACCAAAATGGATTTCAGGAAATGTAAGAAGCATCGATTATGTGAAACGTTTTCCAAAAGGTGGCCTTTCAAGCCAATCTGTCTTACAATGAGCAGGCCCGGGCGCCGTCCATGAAGCTATATCAGCCATCTCAAGGACTTACAAAAACGTCTTACAGACGTCTTACAACCGTCTTACAGACGTCTTACAACCGTCTTACGAAAGCATCCTGGAATAGCAGCGTACTTACCCAGGCACAGGGCACCGAGAAGAGCCAGTATCAGTAGCCAATAGAAAAGCCTCATAGCTGTCACCCTGTATTTGTCGATGTTTCCCCACTGCTCCCTTTGGCGGCAATGAGATACCGACTATTTGGTGTACCACACGGTCCTCGGTACTATATACAGTCACGAAGGCCGCCGAGTCATTGCGCCGCAGTGCATGAGGCATGGTCCGACCTTTTGCGACTATTACGCAGTAGTTTAGGGTCCGCTGACAGGCTGATTGGCACACCCTGCCCTCCTCCCCCCCCCCCCCCTCCTCCCCTTCCCGGGACCCGTGCTGAGGCCACCAGCTTTATGCTACCGTTTAATGATATTTATGCTTAAAACCCGCGCTCCGTAGGAAAGGGGCGAAACGGCCTCCCCTGTCCTTTTCCGTCGATATCTCCTAAACGACTGCAGACATCGTCACTTAACTTTCAACGAAACTTTCAACCCCGTAGGCGTCCTGAAAGACAGATATCGTCACTAAACTTTCAACGAAACTTTCAGGACCCCTATCGTGACGATGTCTGTAGTCGTTTAGGAGATATCGACGGAAAAGGACAGGGGAGGCCGTTTCATGAAGATCGTTAAAACGGTAGCATAAAGCTAATTTAGGAAAATTGATATAGATATTTCCTTGAAGATCTGTCGAGGCAATCGCCAATGTTTCCCGCGATGTGATGCCGTTGCTGTATTCACGAATAACGAGCCATCAGCCGATTTATATAAAAATGTCCAAATCGGCGAATTTGATCTTCGCAGATCCATGTCGCAGACTGAGACTTCGCTCAGGACTACGTGTATGTAAACATTTTATGCCATTGAAAACGTTTATTTCCGTGGTGACGTGACGAGAGAATCAGCAATTAAATAGCCTGATGAATACGACATTACCTAGTCCAATTGGACGCTCCAAAAATAACAGTGATGAGTGAGGTTAAAATAATAATTCACATAATATCAAAATTAAAACTATCTTTCGTATTAGACCAAAAAGTGCAAAATCGCCTATAAAGTCTGGCATCAAACCATTCCTCGTCCTCTGGGTCGATGCAGGGTATAGCGGCATATTAGTCGATGTTTTCTGATCGGTGTTCGTGCCGGTGTCGTTTCCATGGTAGCCGTGCTGGTCGGGTCTAACAGTTTCTCCAGCGGTAGGTCCAGCGTCCGCCTCGTCTCCTTCTGCAGCAGTAGTACTGTGGGAAGCGCGAGTGGCAGTGGCGCCAGCCGCGCGGGCACCGGCGGCACCATCCCTCGGCGCCCTCTGCCGAGACAGTCGAAAAGCTCAGGTCATTTGTCCACTTAGTTCACCCCGAAATGGTGTGAGTTTCAGAAGGCAGGGAATGTGATGACTTTTGACCCTCCCCAGTCCCCTGGGATGGACCACGCGGGATACTGACTCACCAGCCGGCTTAAACGGCTTCAGGAAGCTACTCTGCATTCAAAACCGAAATAAATTTCAGAAAATCTAAGAGACGTTGATTAGGTCAAATGTTTTCCAAAGGACGATCTGTTAACCCGCGCCGTGCTGGTGGCCTGAACTTTCCGCCGAGTGCTGGGGGGGGGGGGGGCGTTTTCACGCCCCCCCGTCTAACTCGGCTCCTGGGCCACGTAGCGACACGCGGTAAGCGGCAATCGAAAGAGCGTCAAAAATAAGGACGAAAACACTTCGGTCATTTTTTGGGTCAGGTCAAAGGTCAGGTCACCAGAGGTCACCAAAGGTAAAATGTTGACTATTTCAACATTTTGGAAACTGCCAACGGCTATCTCGGGAACCGATAGAGCTACAGCGCCGCGGAAAAGCGCATTCGATAGCCCTTTTACAGACCTTTCTGAGTAATGTTCTCAGATTTGACCTCAGGTCAACGGTTTAGCCTCCAGAGGGCAAAAACTCCAAAAATAGCCGTTTTTACGAAAAACGTTTTTTCGTCAATAACTTTTGACTCATAAGCGCCATGACATTACTTTTGCCAGCATCGTGTTCGTCTCGTCGAGACGCGTCGAATGAACTATTTGTTGACCTTGAAAGGTCATTTTGAAAATTTGACCTCAGGTCAAGGTCATGACCTGACCGAAAAGGGTCATGTTGCATATCAGTCGATCCGTATCGTCGAGCTGAACACATCTAACGTGTTTTCACCGCTCTAGCACGTCTCTATCAAAAGTTATAGCCAAAAAACTGCTGGCGACCGTTCATGACCTGAGATGACCTCAGGGGCACACAGAGGGGTCACAGGTGCATTTTTCCTATTCAGTGTGTCATGTTTACCTATGAACCGATGTTTGAGAGCGTTTTGAACGATATTCGTCCAAAAGAGGCCCATTTCAATTTTCTCCCATTGACTTATAATGGAGAGGTCGCAAAATTGACCTGACCTTAGGTCACAGATATCAAAAATCCGAGATATACATTTTATACATACTGTTACTCATATCAATCGCTGAAAGTTTCAAAGTGATCGTTCAGTCGGTGTAGCTATAGCGAGCCTTTGAACTTTTTCTGAGGTAAGGTCACTTGACGTGACCTGGTGACCTGACCTTGAACGGCCTAGGTCTGAAATTTTCACAACATGTGCGGAAATGATGTAGGAACACGTGTACCAAAAACGGCGGCGCTGCGCGCCGCCGTTTTTGAGATATTCGCGAAAAACCTGAGGGGGGGGGGGCGTAAAAACGCCCCCCCCCAGCACGGCGCGGGTTAAGCCAATCTAACAATGAAAAAGCCCGGATTTATTTTTATTGAACAATACATATAGGTACACGGTGCCGCCAGGAACATAGATCAGGGCCATCTCAATGACTGACGTTCAGTAGCGGCGGAACACCTTCAGTTAGCGGGGGGGGGGGGGCACTGCCGACTTTTGGTCCCATCCTTTCCATTAACGCTCATTAGGGCTAATGTTAAAATGCCAAAATCGAAGGGGGCACGGTGCCCCCCGGTGCCTTCCCCGTTCCGCCGCCTATGCTGACGTTATGAAGACGACTTGGAATAGAACCGCACTTACCCAGGCACAGTGCGCCAAGAAGAGTCAGTATCAGCAGCCAATAGAAAAGCTTCATGGCCGTTCCTTTTCCCACTACTTCCCTTTGACGGCAATGAGCTGCCGACTATTTGGTGCACCACACGGTCCTCGGTGCTATATACCTACCAGTCAGTCACAAAAGCCGACGTCACTGCGCTCACTGCGCTGCACGCCACTACACCATGTGAGGCAGGGTCTGACCTTTGGCGACTATCACGCGGTAGGTTAGGCTCAACTGACGCCCGACCCGACAGGTCAATCCGCCTGTCAGGCCTGACATGCCTTTCTCCCCTGCCCGGGGCCCCGCGTGCCCTGGGGCCACCTTTGTTTTTCTCGCTCTGCAGCTCTGAGATACCCACCTACTGACATAGCAGTAGCACATCCTATAGCCCAGTTTCTGAGCGGAGGGATGGAAGCAGGGAAGGAAGGCCATCGCTGATCACAGGCTTGTCTCCCCTCGCTTAGGGCGATGACCTCTAAATTATGGTGTAGGACAGTATGTGCACGCTGTCTCGTTCGTGAGGTGTTCGCTGGCTCGCACAATGCAGCGTCTAATAACATATGTACTCGTATATAGGTACCTAATATTTGTCTCATATGTAGGTACCGTGGAGCGTCTGCGCACCGTCTGTGCTCGACATCATGAACGACCCCCGGTTGGCTGTCTGTCTACTGTCGGTAGCGGAGTAGCGAAGCCGAAGTCCGGGCGCTGGGTAGCAGCCTCTAATCGGTACTGACGTTTACTGTCACCTGGCGGCAGTTTATGGTAACTGCAGCTGTGAACAGGGTGAGACTAAATGCTTACTTCGAAATCTAAGCTGCGTTGCGGCATTGGCGGTTATGTGCGGCGTGTATGCCGCATGATTAGTAAGCGGCGACCACTAAATTAAAAATTCAATAGCTTCGACCTGTTTTCAATGGATAACACTGCATACCAAAAATGTCCATCGCTCTCGTCATAGGATATTTAGATTTAAATAACTAACTTATCTACATCATTGTTTTGAACCAAATTAATACTCAGCCGCGAACGTATAAGGTATAACCCCTTGCCGTTTCGCTCCTGATCAAGCTAGAGCTTCGCGGAAAAAACGAGCGTGTTGCCCGTGACGAGAGAAAGCCGATGATACCCAATTTTAAGGTCCTAGGTTATCGGTTGACCTTCCAGGTCAGGTCAATGACCCAAAAGGCGGGAAAATTGGGACCTGTTAGAACGTCGTAGTGTGGCTGCTATGGGGTTTTTCGGGGTGCTGATCACGAATATCATGCTAGTTTTGATCACAGATGATGTCTTCATTCATTTAGGCCAGGTCGGGTTAGGTCAGGTCAGGTCAACCAGTAGAGGTCCTGCCAGGTATTTGTAGTAGGTGTCAACCGCCTCTGACAGCCTCGTAACATGTTACGAAGGCACCAAAACTACTTTGTACTAACGTTCATGTGGTTGCTTAATTCGAATTCAGCTCGAAAAAACTGACCTAGAAACATGTCAAACTCGAAAAAGTGAACCGAGGTCACCAAAGGTCAATGACCTGACCTGACCTTCAGGTGACCTTGACACCAACCCTAATGCATGGGGGCAACATCATATCACATGTTTGAACGCTTGAAACCACGAAAAGACTGCAAACGCGCTGCTAATGCGAGCCGACATACGCTGAATCGCGGTTCCGGCCAAACATGGTCTCGAAAAGTAGGTCACAGGTCAAAGGTCATTTGGGTCAGGGTCATGAAATTTTCAGGATGGGTGTTGAATTGATCAATGCGAGGGTACTGAAAGTTTCGTCGCGATCAGCCGCTTTTTAAGCGAGTTATTCGCGAAAAACCTTAGGGGGGTTGCATCCACCCCCCCCCCCCCCCTGTGCGGGCGAGGTCATGTTTTGATAGCAAGACTGAAACAGACTTTTTTGGGTAGCCAGGAAATCGCATGCCAGAGCCCATTCAAATTCTTTTATCGGCCTTTATATGCACCAGTCGCATACAGGTACGGGATTTAGCATACGATTTCCAGACAATCGAACGACTGTTTGGAGACAACAAAGGAAGGAATGAGTGAGTTAAGTTGAAAGTATTAATTTGGTTCAAAATGATGATGTAGATAACCTAGTTATTTAAAGCTGAATATCTTATGACGAGAGCGGTTGGCATTTTTGGTATGCAGTGTTATTCATTGAGAACCGGTCGGAGCGTTTGAGTCTTTAATTTAGTGGTCGCCTCTTACTAATAATGCGGCATACACGCCGCACATAACCGCCAATGCCGCAACGTAGCTTAGATTTCGAAGTAAGCATTTAGTCCCACCCCTGTGAACAGACCGCCATAGAGGCGCTAGTGTTTTGAGCTAAAAAAGCAGAGGCCAGTTTTACCAAAAAATACCAGCCGGCCGCCGAAATAAAATATCCAGCCGAAAAAATAGACGCCACACAGCCACGAGTTTCACCAACAAAAAATTCCAGCCGACTTCGGACGGAAATTATTTGTCGCCGGTAGTCAGCTGATATTCTGTTACGATATCAAATTACGATATGTCAAGGAGGTTAATAAATCATTTAAAGCATGTTTTCAATCAAATTGAAGCGTGATTTCTAATGCAAATGCTATATACATTTCGAAATATTATAATCGTAAATTATTACATTATTTTCAAGAGTAATAACAACAAAGTAGAGCATTATAAACTTTCATATCTATATTAACATTCTGGTGCCCAGCAAAAGCCAATCAATACAAAACTACCAAATTGTAAACGTAGGTACGTCATTCATAAAGGTGACGTAAGGAAGCTTGCATTTAAGGCAAATTTAAGATGGATCTTTTTTCCTGTCAGCCTATTATATTAATTTTTACAATACCTTCAACTTGCTATGTACCTTTTTGTCTGTTTTTAGTCGCACCTTGTAGAAAATCATCGTGTAGACCGAGAACGCGATGTGTGGACCTCCACCTATGAGGTGGGGACTAGATGGGACCACTCCAGTGGCAGCGGAACACCTTCAATTAAGGGGGCACTGCCGACTTTTGGTCCCATTCTTTCCATGCAACGCCCATAGGGCTTATATTAAAATGTCAAAATCAAAGGGGGCACGGTGCCCCGGTGCCCCATACCCGTTCCGCCGCCTATGAGTCCCGCTCCCGACAGATCCGGGAGCCGCACCTCTTTCCTAGCTTTCAAAAGAGCGGCAAAGAAGCGGTCAACATTGCTCCCAGAGACGCCACCTGAAGCTGGACGGACGACGGACAGTTCCGCAGCCGAGCGATTGAACTGCGGTGCTACGAGGCGGCTTCGCGTGCTCTGCATTAGCACCTTCTAGCGGGAGTAAGAGGGCTAACGAACTCGCCAAGGCTTATATAAAGCATTGTGCCAAGGCGAGTGTCTTACCTTAGGAAAATACCTACCCAGATTAACTGCTGCACCGCGGTCATTGCAGGGCTGAGGGTGGTCGCTCGCTCCGCTTCGGCGAGGTGGATGTCAGACTGCCCGGCTAGGTGGTTTTAGCCGATATGCAGGCCCCGTTTGCCGGGCCCGGTCGAGAAGAAGGAACGCCACACAGCAAAGAATATTCGCTCCGGGCCCGCTACACTGGTCCAGCTCGTAAGTCGTAACAAATTAACAATACCTGCGCTAGCGTCGTCGACCGTCGTTCGACTGCGCCCAGTACCGCTCAGTGGAGAGTCCTGCCGAACTCCTCCGCGTGTGCCGAGATCATTCGTTGCGCGCGGACACAATCGTCCGACGGAGACCGCTCTGCATTATGATCGGGTGGTCACCACCTTGGTCGCCGGCTTTCACACCCAGCCGAGCCGTCTGACTACGCCCCAAATGATCGTCTAAGCCTTTCGATTGGTTTGTAACTCGGGTCTAATATCGAAATATTTGGGAGTTAGGACATGCTAAATCCGTGTTCATGAACAAATATACATTATGCAACTAAAACGCTTTACTTACTTTAACTTTTCTAGGCTGATGACAAGGCATACACCTATTCATTGCAATATTTCTAAAATGTAAATAAATCATGAGCAATGGGCATAAAAAACAACAGCGATCCACTAGAAGCTATTGTGGAAATCCACTGACATAGGTCGCCTCGTACTGGCGCAGCTCGTAGCTCGTCCAGCAGCGCCAGCGTCTCCCGCACCCGGCCGCCCGCCTTGCCCGCCTGCACCATCAGCCGCTGGAAATGGCTGCGCTGCCGCTCCAACATTAGCTTGACCGCCTGGCTGGCCCGGCAGATGCGCGCCGTCCGACGCACGCAGTGTACGTCTTCAACAGCGCCGGGATGTCGTACGACACGACCGCGTCCACGGCGTCCACGTCAATACCGCGCGCTATAGCCTCGAGCACACCAGCGCGGCCATCTCACCTAGCGCGCGCCGCCGCCGGCACGCCGGCACTACCCCACAGAACTCAGTCACGCGCGCGCCCAGCACAGACAGCGGTAGCTCCAGCTGGTGCGCCACCTCGTTCCAGTTGACCAACACGAGCGAGCGTCGCCAGTCGGGCTGTCGGAGCAAATGGTGCATCACCAGCGGCTTCAGCGGCTGCGGCGCCACCACGTTGAACGACTCGCTCAGCTCGGCCGGCGTGGTGAACCTGCCGACGAACTAACCGGGCAGTGCGACGGCGGCGGCCGCCGTGCCGGCCGCCAGCAGTCGCGGCTGGAACAGCGACATTCGCTCCAGCTTCTCCGGCCTCCGGGTTCTGTGACAGGGTGGCCAAGAACGGCAGCTTCTGCAGCGGCAGGTGAGGCGCGCAGACGGCGGCGGCCGTCAGCCGGCCGGCGATGCAGGGCGGCGGGCCGTGGCCGCCGCCACCCGCTCCACCGCTTTCAGCCAGCCCGTCTCGGCCATCTCGATCACCCGGTCGGCTTCGTCGATCACCAGGTAGCGCAGGTGCGCTAGCGAGAAGCCCTCGGAGCTGGTTATGTGATCCATCAGCCAGCCGGGAGTGCTCACCACGATCAGCCAGGGAGACCGGGCCGCGCGGCCCACCGCCACCAGTTGGCGCCCCCTCGTGCCACTGTGTCTCCACCAAGCAGCCGGACGCAGAGCGGCGTGTCGGCGTCGTACTGGCGGAACACGGCGGGCACCTGAGCGGGCAGCGCCTGTGTGGGTAGCACACTAGCACAGCTAGCGCGCGCACCCGGCGGCCGGCGCCGCGCCTGCACTACCGGCAGCACAAACGCCAGCGTCGTACCGCGGCCGGCCGGCGCCGAGACGCAGAGGTCGGCCGGTG